TAAATAAGAAATGAGACCCAGTCAGAAGGTCATAATTTAATGGGGCTGTGATTTCTTGAATACAAAGAGGGAAGAGATACTAAAGAGAAGTGATTAAGACACCCATGCATGATAATCACAGCTCTCTTACAACAATTCCGGCCATGTGAATGAAACTTGTTAAGGTGATGATGTAGCGCGCTTTCACAACAGAAAATTGTGCCGCGACCATGACTTTAGGATTTTTCAAACTAGGAATTGATGCCGAGATGAAGAATGCACCAACTAAGCCCTGTCTGAGGCAGCGGAATACATGCATGTGAGATGAACCTGATTGTTAAGTTTGATGGTTGGGTGTGATTGCACCTTAAAAAGAGACACTTTTGAAACTTGAAAGCTTTGAATTTATCAACTCAAGGCTACGGAAATGACTAAGCCTACTGAACCAGTAGGTTAGGTTTTTGAGATAATCTAAAATAAAATACGTATAAAATCGAGAACAACAGGTGAAATGTACGATCAAATATCAAAATCAAAGAACAACGTGCTGATGATAGAACTACACAAGTATGGGTCAGGATTCAACCGTCATCCTGAAGACTCTATGATCATGAAGGAATGGATCCATCAGACTCTCAGTGTCTGATAATTTGCTTTCCACCTCCGCCTTTTCTAGGTCTTCTTCCTGCCATGGTCGAGTCTGTTCACGGAACTCAGGAAGGAACATCTTGGGGTTGATATCTTCCATTCACGCCCGAGATGGCTTTTTGACCTCTTGGTGGGGCAGTGGAGGTGAATCGCAAAGGCGAAAGAAGCTTGGAATCATGAATCGCTTGATAAGCTCCAGGTGGGATTCTAGGTTGACCAACACGGGAACGGATAGGATAGGCGGAGAAGGAGTGATGTAAACCTTGTCGCTCAAAGCTCGCAGGAGTGAGAAGGTTCTCAATTGTAGACGGAGTGTTGACCGACAAAGTCAACCTAGGAGTCTACATGAAAGAACTCTGATCGACTGCTCTCAGCGTCGCAAGCTGTGATTAGCCTTCGGGCTCAAGTCTGGGTAGCTACTCATTTTTCGTGTTGAAACTGGGAGCAACACCCTTCTTGGTGTTGATATCATACTCTTACAATTAGTAAAGAATACTCATAAAACAGAGACAAGCACTCGTTAAACAAAGGACTTTGTCATATTTTTTTAGTTTTCTTTGCAGTTCTTTTTTCAGTATACTAAGAAGAAGAGCGAGTACAAGTGCTGTGTGAGCTGGGCAATGATTGAGCTGCTCTGAGGGTCAGCAACTCCTGCTCAACCAGGATACGCGGTTTGCTTGGGCTGTTCCTGAGCAGCATGAAGGGGCATTTGGAACAAACTTTGACCAAACATGATACAAACTTTGGACAAACACAACACATCTAACCATCTCCACGTCGAGAAGGTCTACGGTGGACGCAGTGCTACATGTTGCACATCCCCAACGTACCCAAACTGTGAATCCCATGTACTCCACATCTCGGGCGCAAACCGTTCTTACTGACATTCAATTTGTCACTTCTGATTGTATTCGATTTCATACATCATTACGCCAGCAAATAACCCAGATTTTGATCTGTAAAGTTGCATGAAGCTGCAACACTTCCTTGCCCCCAACACAGTGGTCAAGCATTCCAAGTTTGGTTATCATTGAAAGTTTGTATCCCGCCGCCGCATGCAACATTTTATTTCACACATTATCACAGGGGCCAAAACAAGAGCTCACATAGCGGTGAGCATGAAAAGCCTTCCATATTCGTTCTAAAAACCATCATTTCCAAATATCCTTTCATGTCACAATTTTTGGTTGTGTTCAGGTGATCAGCATGCAGAACTTCCATCTTGCTCAAGTTTGCTCAAGTTTGCTCAAGCATGCTCATCTTCATCTTGATTGAGCATTCCAAATGAGCATTCCTTGAGCATAGATCAGTACTCAGGAATCAACTGGCACACCTCCACATACTCAGAATGGTGCCCATTATAATCAAGCCTTTGAAAGAAAAAAACACATGTAAACATGTCTCCATACAGCGCTTCAAGAGTTTATCGGTACATATATTTTTTTGTGTTGTGTCTGTCAAAAGTACAAAAGTACCAAACCTGGGTTAAAACCGGTTTTGTACCAAAATCTACCAAAATACCGGCCGAGAACATGCGTTGACAGATCCGTTCTCTGACCCACTCCGGTCCCCCCCTCCACAACAGAACCCACGCACAGCGACCACAGCCTCAACGCCGTCTACCTACTCGATCCACCTCCAATCGAACACCACTCCTCGACACTCCTTCTTATCATCACCTACACCCGACACCTCAACAACCCCTCCAATAACCGACATATTGATCTATATTGATACTTCAAGCCGACATCTCAACCACCCCTCAACTAAAACAAGAACATCCAACAATCGACGCATCAATACCTCAACACCTTCACCTCCATTCCAACTTCATCCCCGACCACGACAACTAACCCTTTACAAACAAACAAACAAACAAACAAACCACGCACCTCAAATCATTAACAATTCGCTACCCAATCATTTTCATTCTCACCTCGTTTCTTTAAATCTTGCTCTTCTCAGTTTCCTTTCTTTTTATCATTTCTTCTCTACTTCTGTTTCTCTTTGTGACCGCAGGGAAAGGAGCCTGGAATGGGGAAGCTTGCCTTTCAACCCATCCGAGCTCATCCTGTTGATGTTTCCTATCGCAATCTAAATTGTTGATGTAGGTCGATTCTCTCTATCATAGCATCTTTGGTCTCAAAATCACATACCATTAAACTGATTCAATCAACTTCCTTTGGTAGGACCTTCTCTTGAATCAATTGGATCTCGTTGTCCACGCTCGAGTATGGAGATCGTTCAGTTCGATAAAGATTTTGCAAAGCTTCCAGACTCAAGAGGTTAATAGTCTATTACAACTTATCAATCGACATGACATATCAAAATTCCAAATTTAGTGAAAATCAAACTATCCAAAGCCGAATCCAAATCGATAAGTCTTGAAAATCAAAATCAAAATCAAAAGCAATGTTAAAACCATCTCAATCAATTTTATTCTCAATCCCACTTATCATCAATCTATCATCAACAACAACAGCAGCAACAACAACTGAAGTCAGCTCAATTACAATCAATCTTCAATTCTAAAGTCCATTTCACCAACATACTTCAAAAAGATCGGTATCGTCGTTCTCATTTCACATATCGGATTTGATAACTTCCTCTAGTTTGTGTGATATGAATGTAAGATTTGACTTTGTTGCTTTGAGACAGTTTTGTGCGATTTTGATCCTGCAACCATAGAACTGAGAAAAATCAAATTCAAAAGAGAAAGATGAGTGTTTATGTTGAGATGGATGCAATTGAAAAAAAACTAACCGATCAGGGACCATATCTAATACACCACCGTACCTACGAAAACTAACCGATCAGGGACCATATCTAATACACCACCGTACCTACGAGGTTGTCCTAAAGCTCTAGCAGCTTGACCATCTACTGCATCTAAAAGTTGTGAAATTAAATATGCAATTGTACAATACTTTGGATGATATGACATATAAGGTTGTGAAACTGTTGCTGGAATGATACGACAATAACCTATTAAATGAAACGCATTGAAGATTTAGTAAAGGTTGAGATTGTGAACTTCCTTAGTAGATGATGATGAAAAGAGACTGACCAATTAGGTACAAATAAGAAACTATGGGGTTTTGATATGATGTTTATTGAGATGTTGTTAATTGAATTGGATAATTTGTTCGAATAAATGAAATAGTTTAGAAATAAAGTAAAAAATGAGTTAAAGAAGAAGAAGTACTATTTAATTTTTGAAAAGTTAATGATTGATTTGAATCATAAGAAGTCAATAAGATTTCTAAATCTAATGATGATTTGGATTTTGATTTAGAATTTGATAAATTTGAATTCGAATTCGAATTTGATAGTTTTGATCATTTAAAAAATCTGAGATGAACTGAATGATGATATCTCCAATACTATACTTTGCTTGATGAGATTAGATTTATTAAGAGTAGTTTGATTTTGATGGTTTGATGAATTTCTAAGATTACTAAACGAAGCTACTGCTAATAAAGTATGATGTGATTTAGTAAATAGTGATGGTTTGGAATTTGAATTGTTGGTTTAGTTGTGGTACTGTTGTTTCCATCTGAATTTGAATTTGAATCGATAGCGGTAGTAGTAGTAGTATGTAGTCGTGAATGGCTGTTTTGGTAGTGGCTGTTGTAGGTTTGTGAGATGAAGGATGGTGGCTTTGTTCAAACTTGTCCCGTCCCTCTCTGTCGCGAACACTCGGTCCTCAAGGAGTGTTTGCGAGGGAGAGGGCAAACTTAACTAAGTCCCAGTCAAACTTAACTAAGTCCCAGTCTGGACCCAAGTTCCATCAACTGGTTAGGTCCAGACTGGGACTTAGTTAAGTTGGGGCTTTGCTAATCTCCACTTTCAAGTGGTTACATGAATAAAAGTTCCTCGACAAAGGAGGGAGAATGAGGCTTCCTGTGTATGTACTTACAACTGTCTGTACAGACTGAGCGTTCAGGCAGGGCCTGAGATGACCTGAGCGGATCAGGTAGTCCTCCCTCAGGCTTCTTGGCTAAGCAATAAAACCTGAGGAAGCTTGGCTCACCTGCTCAGCTCTCAGCTCATGTTGATCATGTCTGATTACATGATCAACATGAGCTGAATGCACTCAGTTTTGGAAGGAAACCAGAAGAAATCTTGAATAAAACTTGAAGCTTTTCATGCTGACCTCTATGTGAGCTCTTGTTTTGGCCCCTGTGTATGTTGGCTGGTTGCCTTGGTTGAATCAAAAATATAATATAAAAAGGTAGTACCTCAACGGTATTCAGTCCTACAAAATACCAGCACCAGACCTCAGCTGTCCATTCATTATTGTTGCTACATTTGCCTGCCATCTTGTTTGACTTCAGCCTCAATCAACGCTGACTTTCCACTTCATTCGCACATTCTTTGTTCTACATCAGTAATTGAGTACCACACAAATCTCATACCCAACCACATGTCAGATTTGAATCCTGCCATGTATCGTGGTATCTATTTGTCCGGTAATTTCGAGGTTGAAGAGAAGGTACTCCTGTTCATAGAGTTTGCCCTTCATCATACTAACAATCCATGATCCTATTTGCAGATCTCACCCGACAATGGTTGGCGATCTGAGTACAGAACTTACACAATCTGTATTGGCTGCGGTGGTGCCGACCGTGACGAGCCGCTGCTTTATGAAATTGTGGCCAAAGGTTTTAGTGGCGCTAAGTTCAAGTTGCATCAGAACCATGTGTAATTTTTGCATGGAGCTCTCTTCCCCTCCAACTCCCCTGATACAAAGGCCAATCAATTCATTTTTGAGGGAAGTGATGTTGTCATGTTAGGCCCACGTGACAATTTTGGAGGCGACTTAGTTGATTCCGTAGGGATTACTGGTCTAGGTATTGTGATTGCAATCAATTTGATTGTTGAGGAGTGCTGCCAGTACATGAAAAAGACACCAGACCAAGAACCGGTTGTAACCACAGTATTCACGGTTCAGCACTCGGATTATCACCCCATAGTAGGTCTCATTATCCCTCTCACTTCTAACTTTCCCTGAGTCTTACTGTCGGCTGCTGCCAGATGAATACTGACCGTACAAGCACAGTCAAATACCGTATATAATGTCCTACTCTCAACCTTGCAAAAATTGCCTCAATTGTCAGGATAGGGCGAGAATGCCAATTCCATGGATTTATCAAGGATTTCAACGAAGAAACTTCATGTTACATTATTGTAGTAAGTTGGTATGATTCAACTTTCCTTCATTCATTCTAACTGACGAATTACATTTACAGGCAAACAAAGTTCACATGACCACTGGCTTTCAAGATGTAGCATCCCAAAACGATACACAAAACGTGGATAATGTTAATACACTCAGGAAGCCAAAGAAGTAAGTACAAACTGTCACTCATTACTCATTCAATTTGATAAGCTTAACTGATACATCGGATTCCAGATTCAAACCCAGGACTTTGAGTAATCAAAATCAGGCACCAATGAACGCGCCAGAGGGCATAAGGAGTGTTACGTTTGGCTCCACCAATGAGGCGTCTGTATCTTTGTCTTCAGGCTCAGGACGGTCAGCCAGCACTTCCCAAACTTTGGTGGATGACTTCCCGGCGACGACCGCTGGCGTATTGGAGCAAGTCCCGAAAAAGCGAGCCCAATACCAGCCCAAGCGCAAGATTACCAAGGTAACCGAAGAAGACGATTGCCTGGAAGGTTGATTGTAAGTTTCACCATTACTTGCTATTTACAAGCTTGTACCAAACTTGACAGATTCTGATAACGTGTTCTATTGTGCTATTAGTATTAGTTAGCCTGTATGAATTTGATGCTGGGAAGTTTTACATCAAACTCGGCATTAGGCTTGGTCGTTGTTCATCAATTTCAGTGCATCCTAATGTGCATGTCTGCAAAAAGTTCACTCAAGCCTCCCAGTACAACACCTGCTCCAGGATGGCCAAGTACAAGTTCAATAAATATTTTTTCTCATTATTTACATTAGTTTTAGTATTATATATGTCCGGCCATGTGATATGTTTACTCTCGTACAATGTTGTGAGTTCAAAAGGTTTTATGTGAGTTGAAATGAAGAAATGTATTGTCATGTTTTATCACATTCCCCAATCACAAGTGACTGGCAGCCCAGTACATCCTGGCGACCCCAACATGTTTTTAATTTGTTTTTAATTTGTCTCCAATTGGTTGTTCACCTTACATCATGCAGTCTTTGACAAGTTTTTTGATATATATGTTGACCAGTTGTCAGATACTCAACTAGTCATTGTGATGTTCTCAACTGGGCATGGACCAGATCTCCACCAGTTCTTAACCCAATCTTGAAGAAACACAGGGCATATATATACTGTTGTCCCATATCTCCTCAAGATCAAATAATCCAGATTTGATGTCCCTAAGATTCTCAGATCTGAATACAAAAAGGGTACAACTTTCTCTTATCTTCTGGTCTTCTCACCCTGCCACATGTTCTGCGTTTACCTACTTGATTTCAGCTAGAAATTTCTTGGGTTTCTTTTGTTGGTCTCCAACATCATATTTTCACCTCAACATCCATCCCCTCTATCTCTTCATTTCTGTCAATTTCTCCACACAAAGCTTAGTCAAATCCAAAATGGTATGAACTTCCTCAATCAAACAACTTTGTCTTCCACACAAAGTGTATCGATTGCTCATTTGATTTTAAGAAGGTCTCCCCAATTCCTCACTTTAAAGGCACTGTAACTGATTGGTCAGATAGTCAAGTCTGTGCTAATGTGCTCTTACAAGACCCTCTCCATTTGTTCCCCTGAAATTTGCTTTTGTTGCTTTTACCAATCTAGCTTTCCAATAATGTTCATCCATTGTCCATCTGCACCAGGTTATCAAAAGCACTTGGCCCCAAGCTCACATGGTCCAATACGACCTTCCCACAACAAAATTTCCCTCACTTTCACATCACATTCTCACTCAATTTCATTGACCCCAATTTGAACCTACTCAACTTGATTTCTTGCCTTACACAAATTTAAACACCCATGTCCACCAAATGCTTGATTTGCTTTTAACACCACCTAAAGCCTTCTCAAAGCATCATTTTTGCTTCTCCTCAAGTAATCAAAGTTAAATTAAACACAAGGATTGCCAGATCCCCCTTGACATTGAGGAGGGTAGACAGCTCACAATTGTGTCCAAAAAGTATCTAATCACATCTGCCTTTGTGTGTCCTGCCTTAGCCAGTGCTTAGTAAAAAAGGCTGGACTCCTCATTCAACAGAAATTCTGCTCAGCTAACCGGATAAGTCTGTCTGGAAAACTCAACTCTGATATTTCATGTGGGAAACTGTCAACATACTTCCATGAACCCATATGTAGTATCACATGTACAACATTTTTCCTGTCTAATCCTTCAATCTTCAAGACCTTTTGACCTTTTTGTAACTCATCCTGAGAAACCCAAATCAAAAACTACCAGCTTACCCAATCAGAATACAAACACCAACATGAACAACAACAACAACTTTGTCTAAAATTGACATCAAAACCCCTAAAAGCAGCAGAGGCTATCATGGTAGCAAGTCATAGTTGGACTAAAACTGCCTCTCCTTCTCTCACTCCTGCAACTCAATTGATGGAATAAATTCTCAACCAATTGAACTTGAACATGAAGTTCCAGTTGAGAATGTCAAATTAGATAGTCTTGTAAGTTATTTTTCGAGCAAAATAAAAGTCAAAATAAAACAAGAATTGATTGATTCTTTTTATCTTCTCTCACAGGAAACAAGAGACAATTTTCCCGCGGGAAGACCGATTACACATAGTGTAGTTTCTGAGCCATAATGCACAAATAACACAGATTTAAGACCAAAATAATACATTTTGGCTCATTAACTGAGTCAGATACAATTGGTTTTCCTGCGGGAAAATTGTCCCTTGTTTCCTGTTTCTTTTTGGGTAAAAAACAATTAACCACACCTGGTTGTGTTGAAACTTTGATTTCAATTCAAATTGGAGCTACACCTACTTCAGAATCATCTGTTCAATCAAAAGTTTCAGCTGGTAAAGGTTGCTATTGTTTATGATTTAGCTAGTTTGGCTCAAGGAACTGTTAATTTAAAAGAAGTGTATTGTCTTTCTCAAAACTTTGTCAAAGCTTATCAGAATGGAATATCTAATCCACAAAATTAAGCAAGACTTGATTTTAATTGGATCTTGGATTGATCATTCATCTCGAATTTTTCATTTGATTGATAGTCTTGCGGAACATAAACTTACACTGCAGTCTCTAATATCTTACAAGGAATACCTTAATCATATATTGTCTGCATTAATTAACTGCATTCTGAGCAACCTTGATCTCACCTACATCATATTGGATTTCAATCAAATTCACTTTTGATTTCAAGTTCTCAACTGTCAAGACCTTCAAGCGTTAAGATTTACTTATTTAGAAATGAATCATTAGGAGCTAAATCATGAATCAAAGGGGTACTTGGTAATGTTGTTAGGCGAGAAGAGAATGTTGGTGGAATGGTTAGACCGGTATGAGTTGTATGCAAGGGATGGTTGTTGCGCAATTGTTTTCTGTACTTTGTGTCTCTCGTTTTCTATCTTATATACATCAGCTCTCTCTTGTCCCCTTTTAGATTTTCTTTTTCCTCACCGTCTGGGAAAAGAAATCTAAAAGGTAATGTTTTTCTGCTCAACTAACATTTAGATAACTGTTAATCAAACTACTTCTCTTCGTTTCTCTGTTTTATCTTTTCAACTCTTTTTATTAGTTCTTTTATCTTTTTAACAAACCTTGTCAGGTTTGTTCATCTTTTGATCTCTTTGAGTCTTGTCAACTCGCTGTCGAGAGGTCTTATATTCTTTTATTGTGTTAAAGGTGTGTTGGTCTTAGAAGTTGTAGTTCTGCTTTTTCCTCACCGTCTGGGAAAAGAAATCTAAAAGTTCTTTTATCTTTTTAACAAACCTTGTCAGGTTTGTTCATCTTTTGATCTCTTCGAGTCTCGTCAACTCGCTGTCGAGAGGTCTTATATTCTTTTATTGTGTTAAAGGTGTGTTGGTCTTAGAAGTTGTAGTTCTGCTTTTTCCTCACCGTCTGGGAAAAGAAATCTAAAAGTTCTTTTATCTTTTTAACAAACCTTGTCAGGTTTGTTCATCTTTTGATCTCTTTGAGTCTTGTCAACTCGCTGTCGAGAGGTCTTATATTCTTTTATTGTGTTAAAGGTTTGTTCATCTTTTGATCTCTTCGAGTCTCGTCAACTCGCTGTCAAGAGGTCTTATATTCTTTTATTGTGTTAAAGCCTTTACACAGATATCTTTCAACGTCGAGAGTTTTCTCCGTTGTTTTCTTTTACATCAGAATTGTTTCACAGTTCAATCATTAGTACAAAGTGATGGTTCAGATCAACAGCTGAGTCCAGTTGATCTGAACCATTATCAAATCATCTACCTTCATTCTCTCCATTGAGTCTATCTTCTTCTCAACATTCTGGTTCACTTACTTCTGTTAAATACACTTTTAGCATTTATCAATTCTATTGAGGTTCATAATACTGCTCTCAGTGCTTTTAGTTTTCAGTCTTGTCAATTGGCTAGAGACAAAGCTGAATTTGAAAGTGTAATTTCTAAAAGGAAAGCGGAGAATGAGGTTCGGGCTGACCCAGGTTTTACCTCCTTTACCTCTATCATCTAAGATTAGGGGTACACAAACATCTCAACCCGACCTTAAAAACCCATCCAAAAAACCCGTGCCAACCCGATTGATTTTGAGTTTTTGGCGCTAAAAAATCCAAAAATCAATCGGGTTGCCATGGGTTTTATTAGGTCGGGTTGAGATGTTTGTGTACCCCTATTGAAGAATGTAAGTCGGGCTCGTTTTGCTCCATAAAATGAGGACACACCCCGCGTACAGATTTGACAAGGACCGCACGTCGAGGCCATTTTTGCTCACTGAAATCGAGGAGATGGCCCGTGTACTGATCACACAGGGCCTGCACCTCGGGGCCATTTTCACTCACTCAAAATGAGAATCCCTTGTTGGACCATATATTCGGTTTATCATAAGCACAATGATTGATTGAAGTATACTGATATAGATTGTCAAGTTTATTACGATGCAGCTGAATTTTTTGTATCATAATCATCCTCAAAAAATCCAGTATCAAGAGTTGGTTCACCTAAATGATGATCGGAGTTCCAGAACCTGAATTTGGATCAAACTTTCCAATTTCCTTCAAAATCGACCAATAAATCTTATCAAATTTGATCTAATCTAATCGATTGTCTTGAGAAACAACACCAAATGATGGGAAGATCAATTCATGGAAGCAAAAGTCAATTTGAGATCATCACCCAGTTTAGAATCTCAATTCTTTGAAACAATAATCATTGTCTTTAGATGATTCAATATTTATCACAGTTTTCATACCCAAATACTATAGGCTCTACAGTTGAATCAAGCTTATCAACTAACATTTTTAGGAAAATAGGTTTTCAGAGAACTTTGGATGTTTAGTTGATCCTTCTTGGATTTTTCCAAGTCTTGGATTTTGGTTTGTTTGTTTCAAGCTTATAATCAACCTCTTGTTCATTCTAAACTTGAAACTTATTGATGAATTTTTCAAAGTTGTCTGTTACTTGAAATCTTTTGTTTATATATCATTAAAGAATACAAAACAAACATATTGAAATTTGTTGTCTGAGAAATAAGTTCTTTGTGA